TTAATTTAGTTTTACTTGAGTTCAAAAGCAGATTATTAACATTAAACCAATGGACAACCTTAGATAGTGCCAAATTAACTTGGTCAAAATTTTCAAGTTGACGCTTAACTTTAAAAACAAGCGAAGTGTCATCCGCAAATAATAGGATTTTGTGATCATCCCTTACACAAAAAGGTAAATCATTGATATAGATAAGGAATAAGAAAGGACCTAGAATTGAACCCTGCGGAACACCCATAGTTACCACAGATCCTTTTGATTTTTTGCCATTAATATCTACACTTTGTATTCTATTGTCTAAATATGAACTGAGAAGTCTAAGAGCCTTATTTCTAATGCCATAGTGGTGTAGTTTCTTGATAAGTGTGTCATGGCAAACACAGTCAAAAGCTTTGGACAAGTCACAGAATATGCCTAAAGCATCCTGTGAATTCTCCCAAGCCTCGAATACATTTTTGAGTAGTTCCACACCTGCATCAGCAGTAGACCGACCCTTAGTAAATCCAAATTGTTTGGAATGAAAAAGATTCTGTCTGTTAAAATGCTTTAGCATTTGCTTTAAAATTATTTTCTCAAAAATTTTGCTGTGTAGGCAAAATTGAGATAGGGCGAAAATTCGTAGGATCGGTTGTACTACCAGATTTGAAGAGTGGAATCACCTTGCTTAACTTCATTAAGTCCGGAAACACACCAGATGCGACACAAGAGTTGAACACAATTGCCAGAAATGGGGAAATACATTCAATTATTGAGGATATTATTTGAACTGACAACCCCCAAAGATCGGTGGACTTTTTTACTTCTAAATCTTTAAATGCATCTAGAATGTCCTTAGCACTAACAACTGTAAATTCAAAACTTGTCCCACATTCTGCGACACAGTCTTTAAGTATGTTGTATGCGGAGCCGGAAGACGACAACAAAGTTTGAGTTGTTAATACAGGAATATTAGTGAAAAAAGATTCAAACTCGGTTGCCACCTCCAAATCCGCCCTAACATCTATATCATTAATTTTAAGATGAAAATCATTATTCTTAACTGTGGTTCTTCCTATTTCAGAATTAATAATATTCCAAGTAGTTTTAATTTTGTTTGCAGAAGATTGTATTTTGTTTTTAATGTGTAAAGATTTTGCGGCAGCGCAGGCTCTCTTAAAAGTCTTAGAGTAATTTTTAACATACTCCCTAAACCTTTCACTATGGTTCATATAGGTAACACAATGTACACTTATGAACGTCAAAAAAAGAAATACATATTAAATGCGTCTAATTTTACATTTACAAGTCGTCGGAAATATCTGCGAACCTGGCTTAATGACGTCATACAAACTGGAGAGATAGCAAAAAAATTGAAGATGTAAAAATAAAAAATATTTTATTTGTGTACTTATTTTTATTGATATATTATAGTCCTACCCATCTTACATACAGCACTAAATAGGTAGTTTATGTAATATTTCACCAAACAGAGAAACAATAAACACTAAAATGCGATTACGAAAGCAAGAATAATACACGTGCGTCGGCGATTGCGTTGGCAACGGTACTGGATAGGCGAAAACGGGGCGGGGTGCGGGGAAGCGCATTCCAGCGAGGTTCGCAGATATTTCCGACGTGTAATACTGCCAGTTCTCAAATAAAGGGCATAGAACGGAAGAGATGAACTGGCAATAAACTCTCGGCCACTCTTTTTAATCGCCAAGTTTTTTGAAGTAAAACTTCATTAGGCGCGTCTAGGGAGTAACTCAGATTTTTTTTCTGACGGAAGTAACGCTTAAACGTAGTTTCCGCTATTTAAAATAATACGATAGCGCGTTTTACAAGTCCGTCAGCGCCATCTAGTGGTGTATTTGAACTGATTTAAGTCAGTTTCTTGGTAGTGTTTATGTCACCGTAAAATTGTAAACACCGTTAGATTGTAATCTATCTCGCGAGATTGTAAACTGTCGAAAGATTGTGAACCTCAACGAACTGCTTACAATTTAACGTATTATTATTCGGTAGATTGTAATCTATAAAAGTGAAACCGTCAAATTACAATCTTAAAATTTTCAAATTGTTAACTGTCCGAAGGCTGTCCCTGATTGGTTGGCTTTATAGTAGACCGTACTATGTCCATAAAGTTAGGAATGAAACATGGGTAGAGTCTGGCTAATGAAAGAAGATAATTGATTTTATTTGAAAACTTTCAGATGGCAACACAGAATGTCATTGAATATCTTAGGTTAGTATACCATACCACCATACATAGATACCATACTAATTTTTTTGAATTTGTCGCGCTTTTTTTATCTTCTTTCATTAGCCAGACTATCAGTCAAATAAACTGAATGCACTTCAAGAATTGTGACATCAAGTATTTATTCATTACTTGGTAGGTAATCAATAATTCTGACATCACATGGTAAAAAAATTGTAGTTAAATATAAAATCAGAAACGTAACAATATTTTCTCCTCAAACATAAATTAAAATTGAAAAAGTAATGAAATTTTCTTTCATTTCATTTCCAACACTAACTTAGTTATCATTCAAACTGCACTTCTTTGGTCAATCACAGATTAATTTTACTTCCCAATAATTTCATATAACTAATTCTAAAGCTGTGAGTTACTTTCAACGCGACATCAATTTACATTCAACAAAACAATCAATTTACATTCGACAACGACAACGAATCAACAAACAAATACGGTGGCGCGGGGCATATCCCGTTCAACCAATCAGCGCGCGAGGTGCGATCCGTTTCACAATTTGACGGTTTCACTTCGATAGATTACAATCTACCGAATAATAATACGTTAAATTGTAAGCATTACGTTGAGTTGACAATCTTTCGACAGTTTATAATCTCGCGAGATAGATTACAATATACCGGTGTTTACAATTTTACGGTGACATTTATTTAGGATAGCATTCACTCGTTTTATTTACTGATTCTTGTAATTATGTTATTATTAGTATATTTATATTTAATATGAAAATCCATACTAGTAACATGTAACCAAATTAAAATTCCACTAAAGAAAAGCTTGCTTTTCTTTTGTTATACAGAGTAGTAGGCCAGTTTTTTCGCTTAATTTCGTATTTTACCATTTTGGAAGAAGTAAATTAATACCAAATTATTATGTTTAAAATCGTATCCAACGAATCCAACCTTCGTATTTGAATAATCTTTGTAAATCACATGAATAATAAATATAATTAAATTATAATATGATATTTATTATTTAAGTTAATATTTAATCATTTCAGTGATATATGCCGTCAACCCCAAAGAAGTTTTACGTTACGTTAACCTAAACAGGTTAGTTTAGGTTACACGCACACACTTTTTTTTGTTTTACACAATGTTTGTAAGGAGGTGCAATCATTATTCTATGTTCCAAATGACTTCTTATGCAATGAATAGTGAATTAATAATAATAAAATAAATTTAAAACAAAGGTTTATCTTCTATCAGCAGGAGGCATGGTGAAATAGGAACACGCACTTACATTCTCGTGGGAAAAACACGCAAATCATAGTCGAAATAACTAACATCACCGCATACACGAATCCAGGGCCGACCAGCCATCACAAGCAGCACCCGACGCATGGACACCGCCACAAGCGAGCATGACGATCCTTGAAATGTGAACTTGGCTACATAAGAAAATAATAATAAGCCATCCCTTGGTCCACAAATTTTGGCATCACGATTTGAAATATTATTCCATTATGAAAATATTATGTATGTAAGAAAGAATCTACATCTTTTTAGTAAAATAAATGAAAGACATAATTTTAGTACTAGAAATAAAGATAAAATAGCTCAACCATCTTTCAGATTAGCCAAAGTTCAAAATTCATTTATGGGGTACTGTGTGAAATGTTACAATAAAATACCTTGTGACATTTTAAAACTAAATGAACGAAAATTTAAATGTTTTATTAAAAGTACACTTTGTAAACAAGCATATTACAAATTAGATGATTATATTCAAGATAAGAATGCTTGGAAACATGCTGGTCCTGCTCCATAGGACAATCCTATGATTGGCTCTATAGCCTGGACAAAATCAAATTGGTTGCTGATTTTTTGCTTTAACATATTTTTGTTATTATTATTATTATTTTTTTTTAATTTATATAATGCTACAAATGTAATTATTTTTTTTTTGTATCTCACACACTGTTTTGTTGTGTTTTTTTTTATATTTTTATTACTCTTTAATGTTAATATTCTAAGGTTTCGATATTTGTAAATATGTGAGGAACATGTATACTAACTTTTTTAGTATAGTAGTTTATTCTAAGAGTATATTGTCTTCACATAAATTTAACAAATGTAACAAAATATTGTAAACCTATTTTAAAAGAGTAAGTGTGGAGTTTCTTGCCCATTCTTCTCCACACGAAACTACCTTTTGGAAGGGGCAACTAGAATCATCTTTATATTGTTTTTTTTTGACGTTCAAAAGTGCCATTTTAGATGGTCTAATTGAAATAAACGATTTGACTTTGACTTTGACTTTGAAGGCGAGGTTCCTTGCTCACTTCAGTGAGCTTCCGTCCCAACGACCCGCTAGTCGTGGGAAATACCCATTTCACACAGATTTACGCTCGCCAAAACAACCCGAGCTGTGCTGTCAAGGCCCTTCAGACCAACAAAAAGATTCCATTCTAAAAAAACGAACAACTATTCCCTACTTGATCTGTGATCTGCCATCTGGGGCCTGAGACAAAAATACTTTAAACGAATTTGTACGGCAATGACATTAGTTCACGCTTTGTCACGTGACCATTTTTGTATAAATTTGTTTGGCGTTAGTGGGTCAAGCCTGTCGAATAGTAACTTTGTCTCAAGCCTTCGCTTTTACAATGAATAGTTGACTGTTGAATACTTGAATAATGTAGTAATTTAAAATTTGATCACTAATAAAATAATTATTAGCGACAATATAAACTAATGCTAATGTGTGAAATTTAGTTTAAATATTTTAGAATTCGCGCATCACCATGGAAAACATATATGATGATTTGGAGAATTATGAAGAAGCCAACATAATTGAAGATGTACGTCAGACATTGACAAAATTAAGCGCCAAAATGAGACTTTAGATTAATATTTTATTATATACTTGCAGCTTAAAAATGAAAATAGTGAATTGAAGAAGAAACTCGAACAATATACCAGCACTATAAACCAACTACAAGTTGTGAGTATAATTAGAATGTTAAATATAGTGTTAAAATATTTTTTACCTACCTCATTAACTTTAATATAGTCAAGCTTTACATACAATTCCTCAATATTACCATCGTTAACCAAAGTAGTAACTCAGAAAACAAAGGAACCTAATTGACTTTTTAAGTAGTTGTTCTCAGACCAGGGTGCATTTAGGTTTTAAATTTATCACATGTGAGGATTTCACTAGCTCATATTTACTCTTAAGAAAAACAGTTGGAGGAGGCAATTTCCAAAAGGCGCGCAGAAATAAGAGATATATTTTAGTTTTATACTACTTCATATTTACTCTTAAGAAAAACAGTTGGAGGAGGCAATTTCCAAAAGGCGCGCAGAAATAAGAGATATATTTTAGTTTTATACTACTTCATATTGCTATTTCTTAAGTCATATTTTCTAATTTCTATAATATATCATCAATGGACTCACTGAAAATCAGTGCTGTGGCAACTTGAGCGTACTTGTATACCTATGTTTTTGTTGTATCTAGTTTTATTTTTCTTTGTCTATGTTTTGTGTGCTTGTTATACATGTTTCTTTCAATTTAATTTCTTGCAATTGATATTAAAGTAGACTGTTTTTAAAAAAAGGTGTTTATAAGCTCAGAATAGTAGTGCATTGTATTTGTAGAACATTTTTCAGGATTTTGAAAACCTTAGTTCTGAATATAAAAAATTAGAACTGAATTATTCATCACTGCTGAAAACTGCAAGAGCAGAAATAGAGAGAAAAACAAATATGATTACCCAGTTAAATGTAGAGTGAGTATTGCTCAAATAACGAATTTTCTAGATTGTTTAAATTGTTATAACTATGACAGCACAAGCTTGTGTGTGTTTATGATGTATAAGATTAATGACTGATTCACTTCCTTCAAAAATTTTTATACTGCCTGTAACACCCTTGTTCTGAATTAAGAAAAACTTCTTTACTTGATATTTTGAACACAATACTGTTAAATGAGTCACATACATTTGTGTTTATAACTAGATTTTAATTAAAGAATTAAATAAAAAAGGGTTTTTTTGTAGGTAAGCATCATAACAACAATATTTGAAATGTTATAACTTAAATCCTTTTATATTTCTAGGAAAGACATGATGGTAATTCAAACATTTCAAAATAAAGGAAGACAATGTTTTAAGAAAGTAACTTGTAATAAAGAGACAATCTCTAAGAATACTGAGATTGACAGCAGCAGGTAAATTTAAGTAATAGTTTTGTTCATCATGCACTATCTCTATAGATATATAGAAAATGTATGTGCCAGGTATCAAACCTAGGTCACTTAAGTCAAAGGTTGTGGATTGGATATTATATCACAGAATGATCTGTTGGCTATAATATATCTTCATAAATATTATAAATAGGGGATATTTTATTTTTGTATGTCTGTACTGTAATACAATTAAAAACTCCTGAGCTAATTTTAAATAAATATGTTGAAGGAGTCTGAATAAATAGCAACGGAGCTATTTATTCAGACTCCTTCAACATATTTCCACACAAACATCTCACCAAACACGGTTTGAAAAGCAACCACATCTAACTATTACCATACTACCTCTATACAACATGCGAAGGTTTGAATACTGAAATTGTCACAGGTACAAAACTGAGGACATTCATTGTAAAATGGTTGGAAAACGAAAATCAGGACACATGATGGATATAAAAGAAAATGTTTTGGATAGTAAAGAGAAGCCTTCCTCTAAAAACATCCCAAATTTCAGGAAATCAACTCCTAGGTAAGGGCTGCAATGATTATTTTATCATCTAGAATAGGTAACCATTAGATTAATAGTTAAATAAATTTTAGCCAATTTAAAAATAGATGTGACGAGGAACACTCTCACCTACCAAAGGAGCAGAGACTAAGAGACGATGAAGACATGAAAAGTAGCAAAATTAAAAACTCTAACAGTATTGAAGGCAGACAATTATATCACAACGCGTCCGTCTCCATGAGGAGCGACAGCGATAGACATAGCGATAACCTCTATCGACAGAGAGAGAAAGCGCGATATAGACGGAACAGTCCTCAAAGAATTTCGCGTCACCGATCCAGATCTCCACCGGCAGATAGATTTAGTCGACATAAAAGTCACGACAGACGAAAACACTACAACGATTCGGAACACTCGGCCCATCGTGATATAATTCCGGTCGATCAAATTGAACAACCTGTTCTCAAACACAAGCTACTGCCACATTCTGAAGAACCGAGCCAAAAAAAAATTCGCGTGGATTCATATGGAACATATGCTAGCTCGGAGAGAAGCTGTGGAGATTCAGAACTAATAAGCTTCGGCGCAGCTTTAACGACGCCCGAAGATCCTCTCGGATCGTGTCAATCGCCGGATTATTTGCACTGTGATGGCGATCATTCATCGATTAAAGGTATGTCCGCCAAGTTTGCACATTTATTTTTACTGGTGTGATAGAATAACAAAAATTAAAGTTTTTTTCAGAAATCATTCATACGGCTACTACACCACAGGCCGATCCCAGAATAACTAGCAAGAAATATATTGTACGAGCCGAAAACGGCAAAGAAGTTTTGAAGAGCAAATCCAGTAGTGAAATTTATTTACAAAGAGTTAACCCGTCACTTTGGGGTATTCCGAAAGTAATTATTCCAGATGCGTTATTGCTAAAACCTCCTTCGGTTCAATGTCTTCAAGATAATCTGCAAACGTATTCAGATATCTCCTTAAAACCCACACGAGTAGATCGCAATTCGACAAACGGCAAAGTAAATTCTAACGGATGTATAACTAAAAGCAGTTCAATGACATCAGAAGTCCCCAAAAAAACCTCCACAATACTCCACAAACAATGCTGACTTCCCAAGTTTGTTGACAAATGCGTGTAAGCCAACACACGAGTCACAACCTGACACTTCTAAAAGTGAAATGTCATTTATTAATGACACGGAGCCACACCCATTTGTTGGTATAGAAACCGTCGAAGGGGACTTGCTGTTGAGTGACGAAGGTAGCGATAATAACGCAGATAGAACTCCCGCCGTCGGTCAGACCAAGACCAAGTCGGATAAAAATACATTCACATATCAAAGTTCATCTAATTCCGGTGAAAATAAAATAAATAATATTGTAACAAATAAAAAAAGAAGAAATCGATAGCAAAATTCCAGTAGATCAAGAAAACCATTTTGAGAATCTCCCAAAAACAAAGGACAGGGAAGAGACAGATATACCGCCTAAAGATTCTGTCAAATCTCTTCAAAAAGAAAACAATAGAAACGCAGCTATCTCATTGGAGAACAATAGGGCAGAAAAAAGCCTTTCAAATAAGGAAACATCCAAATTAGGCAAAAATACAACTTGTAATGTTGAATTGGACCAAGTTTCAGACAAAAGTATATCTGTTAACAATGTTAAAATCCATAAGAACTCGCTCGATTTACCCGCCCAACTTAAATGCGAGCGAGGAAGCGAAGATAGTACTGATACGAGCACTAAACTTGAAAAACCTAAAAAATACCAAGAGCCTAAACGAAGACAATGTCCAGAAAAGAGTGACAAACACAGTAAAGTTAATATTAGTAACAAAAAACATAAAAAAAAGAAATTAGATGAAACAAAAGTCAAGGAAATTGACAAGAGCACTCTGGCACCGGACGGTCAAAAGAAGTTTAGTTTATTTGGAGAATGCAGCAATAGCCTGATAATGCCTGAGGATTTAGGCATTCGAAGCGTAGAAGTCGCCGAGAGCCTGAAGATTAAATTTGCATCTATTTGCAACGATTCACAGAATGCTGTCGATCATGTTGAAAACGATCCAAACCCAGGTCCCAGTCTCATTCAAGAAAGCATTGCGGACACGAGTGTCGACGTCAACATGACCGCAAGCGAACAATTAACGAACGGTACCGTCATTTGCAGCGATACTCAAATACCAGAAAAGGCCAATTTGTTTGAGAACATAAAACCTGCCATATCCACGGACAGTCCGGACGTCGTCATCGTCTCGACGGGAGTTCAATCTAAACTTCTAGAGGACGATATCGACCGAGACATCTCGAAAAGTGTCTCGATCGAAACCGCGCTTCCTCTCACGGCTCTGGCGACATCGACTCCCCTCAAAGAGCAGAACTGCTTTGCTGCCGGTCGATCCGTCAAAGATACCGTTCGGGACGAGGCCGGAGACGTCCCCGACGTGAGGATTTTTGTAAAACGGCGAAGGAAAATAAAGAAACTCTAGCCGAGTCGGCGTCTCGCCCTTTCGGACTGTCGGATAGGTGACGTGAAAATATAAAACGTCGACGACGATATCGATCGCATCGCGGCGACGAATTCGACTCTGCTTTTTCAAAATAATCGTACGAGGACAGAACGATCGTCGTTATCGCCTGCAATTTTTTTTTCTATCATCGTGACGGACGTCACTAAAATCTTCATCGGCGGATATAACGGTATAATGATAACTATTGAGCCGTTCGCGGTTTACGCGTGCCTATTTCTTTTTAATGATCCGGTGATCAATGGAGGCCGGGGCAAGTCTGATTATCGTACAATGTTATGTCGATTCTGCTTTCGAATGCCATCGCGCACACTTTTATTGTTATTATATTGATTAAAACTATTTCTCTTACAGTTTCTCTTTTTTAGCCACAAATGTTGACAAATGTTTGTGGTAAGATATTGGACAATATTAATATATGATGATACAAATATAACTTAGGAGCAATTCGTGTTCAGGCGCATGTCGCTCCATGCGAACGGCAGACTCGGCCCGTCTGGGTCTTCCTCGCCGTGATTGAGGCGGAATCGTTGTATATAAATAGTGATTTGTCTAAAATAAAATACACTTAATCCTCGTAAATCTCAATTTATTTATAAAAATCATATTTTAACTTACCTATGTACATCGAGGACACGATTACTTATGATTAAAATATCCACCTCGCCATATATACACATACGTACTGTTTGATTTTATTTATTATAATTTATAATTATTACATTACATTAGCGATCGTATCACGAATTAAACCATAAAGACGTAGATGTCCACGGCCATATTATATTATTATAATTAAGATTTATACGAAATGCAATTCTGTTGAGGAACCGACCGACTGTCACGTGTCTACAAAAATATGTGTAAAAGTGATATAGTGAACTCAAATCGCCTGCGTCCGTCACCTCGAACGTTTCACGCGCGAAGTCGTCCTTTCCGGACGAGTCGACGATCACCGTTTTAGCGCGAGGCGGTTACGGCTTATCGGGGGTTCGGGAACGCCCGGTCACGAGCGCGAGTGCGCATCCGCGGGCGCCGGATGCTGGTAGCAGACGGCGGACGCGTGGCCCGAGCGCGCGGACGTCAACGGCGGCCCGCTCTTCCACGAGTCCGTGGCCGGGTCGTACACCTCCACGATGTCCAGGAACGCGTTGCCGTCGTAGCCGCCTGCGAACAGAGGAGGCGTCAGCGCGGAGACGGACGGGGCCAGGGAGAGGAGCGGAGCTACGGACCCATGGCGTAGAGCTTGTTGTCCAGCACGGTGAGCGACAGCGCCGAGCGCGCCACCGGCACGGGCGCCACCGTCTCCCACGAGTCGCGCTCCGTGTCGTAGCGCTCCACGGCGGCCAGCTGCTGCGCGCCGTCGTAGCCGCCCACCACGTACACGTGCTGGCCCAGGGCGGCCACTCCGGCGCCGCTGCGGGCGACGCCCATGGGCGCCACCTCGCTCCACACGTTATTCTCGGGGTGGTAGCACTCGACGGAGCGGACGCGCCGCACGCCGTCGAAACCGCCCACGGCGTACAGCAGCCGGTTCACGACGGCCACGCCCACCCCGAGCCGGGCGCAGCCCATCGCCGCCGCGTACGTCCACGTGTCCGTCTCGGGGTCGTACCTGCAATCGGATCGGGTCATTCGCCGGGCGCGGGCGGGCGGCGCGAAGGCCTCGACGCTTACCGTTCGACGGACTTGTGGTACTCGGAGCCGGCGGAGCCTCCCACGGCGTACAGCAGCCCGTCCATCACCGCCACGCCCACCTGACGGACAGGCACGATTTAAGCGAGACGTCGGACGAGGTCGCGGCCTGCGCGAAGTCTACTGACCCTGTGTCTCGGCGTGGCCATGGGGCTGCACGGCCTCCATCGCTCGGTGGCGGGGTTGTACACGTCCACCCAGTCGCTGTCGTACGACGAGCCCGGCGACGTGTTGCGGCCTCCCACCGCGTAGAAGATCCCCTGGACGCAGAAGAGGACTCTTAGACGACACGTCGGACCGGCGACGGATATCAATTCGTCGAGCGGAAGCGAGTACGCACCTTCAGGAAGGCGGCTCCGAGCCCCGAGCGAGGCACGGTGAGGCGAGGCAGCGTGCTCCAGCAGTTGTCGTCCAGGTTGTAGGCTTCGAAAGTGTCGATGGAATGGCGGAAGTAGCCTCCCGCCACGTAGATGACGCGGGGCGTGTTGGGTCGTCTCTCTTTCACCACGGGCTTCTTGTGGAGCGTCAGATCCTGCGGTGCCGAGGCGAAAACCGTCATAAGCTTCGTCGAACGAGTGCCAGTCGTCGGCTTCGAGGCGTCGATCGACCCTACGTCTTAGAATAGAGTGAGATTGAATTGTTTCGAGACCTGGAATATCCTGGCGAGGTACTCTCGGCAGGCGGGCACCTTCTGAAGGACGGCGCAGGTGGTCATCTGCTCCTTGAGAAAGCTGGGCGTCAGGAACTGGCAGCGCACCGCCTGCAGAATGTGCTCCATGCGCGGGTGACGCCGCTCCTCGTCGTACTTCACCTGTTTCGCCGAACGGTATACTACTATTGTGATTTTTCAAAATATGTAAATTACCATGCCATAGTAAATTTAAAAAATAAGAACACACTTTCATTTACACTGCCGTATGAAGCACTTCTTCGGCGACAGTTTTAATTAGAGTAATAGGAGAGCGATAGAAAGTTATAATATCTAACGGCTCGAGCTTTTCTGTCGACCTACGGGATAAGCTATGTCAAATATTAGTTTTGTCGAATAGTAGAAGTCGGCTGTAGTCTGCCGTCCTCACATGTTGCACGTGTCACTCTATTTATCGACCAGGCGAAAGCCTCAAAACGGAAAGCACAAGGCGACGCTGCCTTTCGGGGTAGTTAAAACAAAAAAGCCTCCAAGGGACACATTCATTTCCAGCATTCGAACCTACGACCTCAGAGCGAGTCGCACGGCCAACGTTGCCGATTGAGTTGTAGGTATATTAACTTATCGTATGATAACCCACAAAAGGCGATATATAATACATAATAACATGGCAAAAGATATGGTTCTGAACTAATATACATGAATTGCAAATGAGTTATTGGACGCCGTAATTCGCGAGTCATAGTCTCGTCGACGTCATTTCGATAACGCACTGACAATGATACGGTCAGGGTCAAGAGATAACTTTTAAAGACTCGTGGCGACGGAGTGTAGTCGAAACTTCAGAGTCAATTTTCTTGAAACCTTTCCTTTTCCCTTTTATGCCCGGTTTCTAAGCTATTCGCTCTCGCCCGGATATCTCGTTAACGTAGTTATCTAGTTGACCAGTGAGAGTAGTACTAGCTATTTGGCTCTCGAGTGATGACTCTCCTAATTCACGCTCGTGTGCTTGTTCGTATACGTTTGTCAGGGTCAGTTAGATGACGAACTGGTGATTATAATGACGAGATGTCATTCACGAAACTTTGTTATGATTTGCATAAACTACATAATATTAAAGAAAATGTTGCATTACCCTAGTTCAATTAATTATTATTAGTTATACTTATGTTTAAATTGTCGTAAGTTGTCACATATTACACGAGAATTTTGGTCTATTTATGGGTTTTATTTTCTGTTTTCAGAAAAGGGAATATACACAATCAGGACTAGGTACTGTCAGATTTTTATCATCAAACGTACACATAATATTTTGTTAAATAACGTCTTTCCGTGGTGTAGCATAGGATAGATAAGGGGCAAACGGGCAAAACAAAGATAGCAATAATTGTATTTTTGTGGCGACAGTGTTGGCAAAGGCCATTTGATTGACTTAAAGGGATATGTGTAGAGACGTCGAGTACAAGATCAGCACTTACCCAATTCAATACGGCGTTGTATACTTCCCGTTCTTCTCTGACGTTCAGTTCATCTTTTCTGATGAGATTTATTATCTCTGGCGCTGTCAGTTGTAGGAATTCCTCCTCTTGGCAAACCTGCCAAAATTATATTATAAAATAATTAAATCTATACTTAATAATGTTACAAAATTGTAGTTTGATTGTCTAAATTTTTTGGATAATATTTTTTTTAGGTAATAGTAGGCAAACGGGCACGAGTCTCACCTGATGTTAAGTAAAATGCCCGCCCATGGACAATCACATTGCCAGAAGGCTCGCGAGTGCGTTGCCGGCCTTTTTCCTAAGTCGAACTAGTTCGGAAATACTTGAGTGGAAAGTTGGTTCCACATAGTGGTGGTGCGCGGCAAAAATTGAGTAGCACGAAAGGGAGTTTTTTAAAGCGGGAAACGCGCAAACTTGTGTCTTCAGACAGAATTTTGTTCCGGTACTCATCGACAAACGCCCGAGAAATACATGTCCGGCCAATTTAAACAGTACCCACAGTGCTTTCGTCCGCATAGCAATGAACGTTGCTAAGCTGCAACATATCATTGATATGCAGAATAAACAGGGTCCTTCTGGGATTTACGGGTTTAAGGTCGGAACATGCTCCGTCGATGACGAGCTTGATGCTCCGATCGAAAACTTTCGCTATGTCCAAACTTACAGCCAGCGCCTCCCCTTTAGACTCAATTGCCTTTGCCCATCTGTGTAAGGATAATCGCTAATCAGCTGGTGGCCCTCTAGATACCTAGGGAGCTGGCCGTTAATAATGGTTTCCATTATTTTGGAGAACAAGGAGGTAATAAATTAACTGAAAATTGTGAAATCGTCGCTTCATGCAGTGAAGGCGCTTTTAGATTAAACGTGACATATTCACACAGATAATACGTGCCGAGTCTCGTCTCTCACTCCCTCCCTCGTCACTTGCATGTCGGCATTGGCCTAACGCTAAGTTTAAAGAATTTGTTAAATCGCAAGCGCAACTTCAAAGTCTCATAACTTTTACATATGTAGAGATATCTTATTTGTAATTAATTCGAGTAAGATGACCGATGGCACTCACCTGTATAAAGTTTCTCTCGATGAACTGGTTGGCCTTCTGCTTGAGCTCGACGCAGCCGTGCTGCTCGGCGAAGTTGGCGATGCCGATGGCGTTGAGAGGGTCCAGCTGCCTCTCTAGGAAGGCGCAGCACGCGTCTATGACATTCGAGATCTGCGGCACACGACTGCAATATAACGTCCCTCTACACCACTCCGTCCGTCACTCTTCCGCAAAAGCATCTCCTCCGGCGGAACAATCTTCGCCGAGCGACCTCGACGAGATATGTTCCGCCGGAAATTATGAAATGTAATAAATGGAAGGTGAGTGAAATGTTTAGCGGCATGAGCAGACCGGTAGTGCGTACCTGGAACATGGTGGCGGCGGGCAACAGTTGGCAGACGGTGACCTCCGTGATGCGCACCTTGCCCGTGTACATGAAGTACACGAGCCAGGCCATGGCGGACGGACACACGCCCTGCAGCCGCACTCGCGACATCTCGCACTCCTTCAGCCCGCTCGTGAACATCGCCTGTCGCACTGCTCTCTTTTATACACACTCTTTCGACTGTCTTAAGTTTAATATGAGGAAATATTTAACTTCCCGTTAAAATTACACGCATCGTTCGGTAATGACGTAACCTGAATCGACAAATATAGTTTACCTTGAAGTAGGGGCTGCCGGCGGCCAGCACCACCTTGTGCACGTGGAACAGCTCGTTGCCCACCTCCAGGACCACATCCGTCAACATGTGGTGAGACCGCATCGTGAACAGCATCTGAGCGAACGACGGCTACGTCTATATTGAAGTAACCACTTGCGAAGTCTTTAGTGGTCCTATATTAATTTCATAATTCTTTGCAATTAACATTATATAATGAATTGTGCACATTTTCATAACCTTGAGGATTTGCCGAGTCATTACAGCTTGCATGGTATGATAACGCATTTGTACCGCGAAAGGTCTATTCTTTAGTAAAGCTAAAACATAGTATGTATTAGTACTATGGACAAAAAGGTAAAGTGTTATCTAGATATGTAAGAATATCCATTCAACACAATATATATAAATATATATATATATATATATAAATATATATATATATAAATATATATAAATATTGGTAAAATGTTTATTGTAATTTATGTGTCTATAGGAATGACGCCGTGATGATGTTGATGTGATTTTTCGATTTATAAATACCTAACTGACAAATAATACAAACCTTGTTGGTTTTTACACCTGGCACCACATTAAATAAATATGACAGTCCTTATTTTATACCTTACAACAGTATCAGGGCTCAGCCCTTTACCTTCATAAAGTCTGGTATGTAATTTCCTAAACAGAAGGTTGTATCGCCAATGTCCTTGCTGCTGCCATAGACAGAGTCTATCATGACATCACAGTTAATAGGTGGCATATCATCAAGTAAGTTGCCTCGTCGAGCCTCATCTTCTTTCTCCATGTTATCTGGAAAAACTACCTATGTTATTTCATCAATGCAACTCTAACTGTGTTATTTCATCAATCTATTATTTTAAGTGATTGCTTTACTGAAGGAAGTACTTTTTCTTGTTGTTGCTTACCAACAAACTCTGAAAACTTTAGGGCTGATGTCAACATAACATAACTGTTACAAAAATATTACTAATCAAAATTATGAAGTTTACTAAAACTGAAATAAATCTTTTTACTTAAATGCAACATCAAACCTTCTATAAACAAACAGGCTATCATGTTCGTCAATAATTTGTATTAGAATATATTGAATAAAACAATAATATTGCCAAATTCCATATTGAATCACTTACAATTGAAGTGATCTTGAATCTACAGTTATGACCATTTTCACTACAAGAAAAAAGCAAGGTGAGGCATTACAAGCTTGTTTGTTTTTCTATGATATAAAGATGACTAAGCAAAACAGTTATTACTTTGTGTGAACAAAATGTTTTTTGTGGAACTAGTTTACTTTAGATATTGTACAGGAAACTAGTAGGGCTCTTTGTCACCAACTGCCTGCAACTATCCTATCATGGTGTCATGATAGCAGACATAATGTGAGACAAAGGTTTTTGCTAACTCTTAAAATTTTTACAATCATAAATAACTGCCCCATACATTTCTTAGTGATTTAACTTTCAGTAGATTTAGTATGAATCATATTTTTCTAATGCAATATTAAAGATTAAGGCAAAACAATAAGGCTGTGTGTAAAGATCACAGTTGACATTCTTAAAATTAATGCTAATCTTAGGGAAAAATTCAGAGTCAGACCTAATGCTAAGCATGTCAAAACATATTGGAGTTCGACCTATAGAAGCTATAGCTTCTAATGAATCTTAGTTTTAATTTTAAGATTAAAATTTTATCCTCCTTATTTTTTAAATATGCTATAATAGCCTTTAATGGCTATTGATTGATATGTCATTCTTGTCACTATGCAAATAAATAATGTGACAAAACATTATTTTACTTGGCTTAAAGGTTATAATGTTTATGAATTACACCATAAGTTTGTACAGCTACTAGTTAACATGTGCAACAATGTAGTTGCAAAATTGCATTGCTTTAGATTGTGATACCAAACGATATTTTGCATACTACATGAAATATGTAGTTCACTAAATTTTTGTTTGTAGGTGTACATCTAGTATTCAAAAAATATGTGACATGAATGAGACAAAAGGTAACTTACCTTAACTTAGGAACAATGAAATAGTTTTAAAATTCAGTGAATAAAGACTGATTCAGTGTAGTTTTCACTTTACAGAACACAATTATGTCTTTTATATAGCTTCACACATATTTAACGAAAAGAGCATGATTAAATAGGTTTAGCTTGTTGGTTATTAGAGGCGTGTAATTTATCGCGCTAAGTTATAGAGTATCTCAGATTAAATAACTTTGTTTCGTTTGATAATAATTTATTCCATTAAGTAAAGGAGATAATAAAAGTATGAAGTTTCCACACTGATTTAGGCTTCTACTATTTTATTCTATTCTAAGAATTTAATAATAATTATCTAATACTAAACAAATGTTATATCATTAATTAACACGTTCGCGGCGCTTTTGCGCTAACTCACTGTTCTGCGACAGCTTGAGTCAACTCACTTAATAAACGTTTTGGTACTTGGTTATCACTAAGTACACTGACACATAATATTGTCACGTGGTCAATAATTTACTAAATAATTGAAAAAACAACAAACAATTAGTGACAATGTCAAGAAAAGTAGCATAATTTGAGTTAATCCTAGGCTTCAAGTAAAATCACTTTGACAAACGTGACAGTAACGCTAAACGAATTTGTATGAAAATGGTCACGCGCAAAGCTTGAGAATTGAGATATATTTTATGTCATTCACATGCATATAAAAATTCGTTGAGTATTATATAGTGGGCCAAGCCTGTCGAAAAGTGATTTTGTCTCAAGTTCTAAGACCAAGAACTAAAGCATAGAACCTTGTAAAAAGAACCTTGTAAGATTGGACACCTAGCTATTTGTCTTTAAGCGTAGTTTAATATGACTAATCTTTGCCCTTTGGGGAGGATGTGACACATCTGACCTCATCCATACTCATATTCTTTTTTACTTGTTGGTCGTAAATCCATTTATCAAATTGTGATGTTTAATGCCATGTCATCAGATTAGGTATGTCGATCGTATACATTTCTTATATTATTAATTATGATGACAAGATGTCATTCAAACATTCAGTAAATACCGGATACCGCCCTCGAGTCTCGCATTAAAAACTTAAAAGTACAATGTTGCCACTTAACTGCTTCTTTTAAATAAATAATTATTTATCATTACTATAATCTTATTCTGTATTCATTACAGAAAATTTTACAAATTCAGAAAGTTGGTCGTTTTTGTGTCTTTAATATGGCTTGAGATAAAATCACTGTGACAAGAGTGACCTAAAACTAGGCAAAGTAAACGAATTCATTGTCATTTTCTCATACTTCTCTCATTTCCAAAGAAATTCGTTTGGTGTTCACAATAATAAAGCAACTTTGTCGCAGGTCTAAGAGGTTGTTGTATTCTTCCTAGTCTGTGCATACTGTGATTGTAATTTGTGCTCTTTGGATATAGGAAGTGCGATAATGGCAGATACAAAGCAAGGTATAAATAATTTTCGTAATACAATTGTTTCTCGTTATAAGTTTCAGTTCCATAAATATTCATTAATATATAGAACATATTTGCATCTATGTTTATAATTAAGTTTTTCCAATAATACTTAACCACTCTACTTTTTGACAATGCATTAGTCGTCTACTTTTTTGTTTTTCTTTTTTTCGGCTCACACACTTCTATTTGCAATTATTATTTACAAGCGATATAAAGAAGATTTACGGAAATTTGCGATATGTGTAATTTAAAAACTTTATAAATAGTAATGTATAAATATGACTGTGATTCCTTCTGGTCCGTACGGATTATGAAATGTATAGATAATTTGCGTTTAGAAAATTACTGGTAAAAAATTCTACTACAAATCCAATATCTGGCTTGCAGGAAAACAAACCGAAGATCTTTACAATGGCTCTCCGTCGCGAATCGTTTTGGCAAAACCTAAATTAGGTGGTTTTGGTTCGTCTGGATTACCAAGTTGTTCTAATAAGGGCACTAATCAATTGGGTAGGTACTTTTGAATGAATGAATTGACTTGACAGTCCAATAGAAATAGATTTGGATGTGCTAATTATTTTACAGAATCTCTTGGTACATTTAATAAAATTCTTTATGTAAAGTCTCAACATGCAGTAATTTCTACTTTGTGAGATCTTGACATTTAAAAATTCTAAGGTTCATATTGATTGGAATTGGAAATGTGAGTCTTAATTTTTTTATAACATGTTTATATCCACATTTAAGTAATAGATAATGTTAAAATTGCTAAAATGGTTTTTGATTGAATTAATTTTGTGGTATCAGTGATTGCTAGAGGTGGATAGTTCTTGGGCTTTACTCATGTAGGATATGCCAATTCCTTGTCTTAACATACCATTTCGAACATACAGTCTGTGAGTGCTTGATAGGTCCATATAATCTGCCATGCTACATTTAGTTTGATTAATATACTAGATATGTTAATCAAATGAAAACTTAATGTGGTGTATCTTCCTCCATAGTTCAATCTATTGATACCGAAATGCTATCATAACAGCTGTAGTCATCAGTCAACCTCAAATGCCAGTTCTTACACCAGAATGCAATGTAGTTATGAAACAGCAACATGATTCTAGTTTAACAAATTATTTTTTAATATATGTAGTGTACATAAGTTACATGAAACATTAAAAATAATTTATAAAACAATGTTTCTGTTGTACCTATTAATCAGTTTGTATCTAAGGTTTTCAATATTTTTATAGTATTGTTTAATCTGTACTGTTTTTCTTATTAAATCATAAGAAGTGATTTTTAAAATATATTTGGGATATTGTAGGATCAGTGTTACGCCCACCTCAACTAAAACCAACATGTAATCTATTTGCCAAAATAACTACAGAAGAGCTAAATGTGGATAAGAAAATTCATGGCGAGACAGTGGCTAGTACACAAGATAGTAACGACGACGAAGACGAAAGACCTAAATTTGTCCCACTCGGAAATACTAATGTCACTCCCAAGACTAATACCGCCGTAACCGCACGCGTATCTTCCGCTTCCACACCATCGGCAGGTTTTGTTTTCGGACAGAATTTAAGCGAGAGAGTCGTCATGAAAGAAGCCCTTAACGATGGAGAAAGTCAAGACAATCACACTTCCACCAATGGAACACCTGAACTATTGTTTTCGAGCGCCGCGGCCACCGTCAAAGAAAATCATCATCAGGTACGGTAAAATTGCTTGACTTTTGAAGAAATACAGCCACAATGTCTCGCATAATGCGAGTATGAATTGAATCGTGATACTTCAGGAGGACCCCGGGCCCGGCGAGGGCAGATCGGAGAGTTTGGCCGCGGCGGCCGCGGAGTACGAGCGGTCGCACGCCCGGCCCCCGCCCCCCACCTCCAACTGCACCACCACGGGCGAAGAGGGCGAGACCAACGTGCTGCAGATGACGTGCCGGCTGTTCGCGTGGGAGGCGGGCGGGTGGCGCGAGCGCGGCCGCGGCGTGCTGCGGCTAAACGACGGCGCAGGCGGCGGCGCCCGTCTCGTGGCTCGAGTGGCAGGCTCCTTGCGGGTGGCGCTCAACACGCTGCTGTGGCCCGACATGGTGCTGGAGCTGGCCGGCGCCAAGTCTCTGCGCATCACCGCCGCCGACGCGCAGCTGCAGGTCAAACTGTTCCTCATCATGGTGAGTCACCTCTTTTGACTTTCATAAGTGTACATTGTGTTACCTGAATTAATAAATTTTTTTTTTGTCGGCGTTGTATCTCTGTGGTGGTCGGTGCGTGATGGAGAGTTGCGTTGCAGGGAGCGCCGGGTGACATCGGCCAGCTGCACAGGGCGCTGCAGACGCGCGTGACGAGGATGAAGCGAGCCGCCGCCGACGGAGGGAGCGGGCCCTGCCCGGACAGACTCCGGGACGCCCCCGAGACGACGAATCCCGAGGGCGAAAGCCAGGAACCGTCGGATGAAGAAAAGGAATCCGCGTCACTGAAGAGGAGAGAAGGGTCGGAGGAGGGGACTTCGCCTAAGAGACCTTGTCGCGACGTGTCCGTGCAGTGAGTGAGAGTGAGTGACGTGAAGTGACTGTTTACGAAGTACTTAGGTGATGACAATTAGCATAATGTTTATTATTAGGAGATCCGATATTTGAAAATGTACGTATTTGCTATTCTGTATGAACTTTGTCAAATATAACATTTACATGACGAGTTTTAAATTTTTTTTCTAAAGCATTCCAAACTTTGCTGTGTTACGTTTTCGAAAGCTATACACCAAATACTGTGTACATTCTTTTGTTTTGACAAAAAAATTAAAATACCATTTAAAAACCTCTCGTGTCTATTATTTGATTTACGTAGTCGGTCCCAAAGTTCTGTCATAAATGGAAATAATGATAAAAACAAAAGTACTGATCAGTTTGTAATGAGTGATATATCAATTCTTAGTAAATTAATTAAGGATTAAAAAAAGCATAAAAATATTCGAAATAACCTCCCTCATTTTTAATACAGGCCCTTAAGCGTCGCGGCCAGTCGTCTATCGCAGCACGCACCATATTCGTGTCCATTTCAGTCACTGGTTTTTTTAAAGATGACTTCAGATTCTCCAAATTTTCATGAGGTTTATCACAGACCTTCCTCTCTAAGCCCTGTCATAATTTCTGGTCCAAAGGATTAAGGTCCGGACTGGAGGAAGGCCAATCCTCATGTCTAATTAAGACGATGTTTTGACGCTCAAACCAGGCTTTAGTTGTCTTGGCTTTGTATGCAGACGCAGAGTCCTGCTGGAACACGAAGTGATGTCCCGCAAATAGGGTGCTGGACATCTTTGACAAGGCGATACAAAACCGTCTCTTGGTACACTGTAGCACTGGTTTTGACCCCCTTTTCGAAAAAATTAACCTCAGTTAGCCCGTAATAGGACACTCCCAACCAAACCATTACTGATGATGGATGATGTCCATGTTGCACCCTTGGAACTTTATTTTCAGCTTCTTCAGAACTCCTAGCGTACGCTGTATAATTATGTTTATTGTACTTCTCTTCAATATCAAAAAAATTTTCGTCCGTAAAGAGGATATCACGGTGTCGGTTTTTCGCGTACCGCTTAAACAACACCCGCGATCTCTTAAGCCTTATTGCTTTTAGACGAGCATTAAGTAAGTTCCCACTCTTTTTTTGTATGCTCGTAGACCAAGATCTTCATTTAAAACCTTTTTTACTGTTTTCCTACTGACACCCATCTACAAATCCATCAACTTCTGTTTTCGGACAGACTTTCTTACTATCCGCGCCTTGATAGCTTTGATTACTGCTGGTGTTCTTGCGGAGCGTGGCCAGCCAGTTCTTTTCTTGTCCTCAACACTGGAGACTTCAAGGTACCTATCAATAGTACCGTACACAAACCTAAGCGTTATATTCAAATTTTTGAGCAACTTGAAAATGGTACTCGGCGAGTGTCCACAGCGGTGCAACGCAATAACAACTATTCGGTTTACTTTCAATGTCCACTCCATCGTGAAAAATTACGGAAAGTTATTGTTTTTTGTTTTAAAACAATAATCAAACATTCCAAAATAGAATGCAATAATTTTTTTATAAAATCCTGCTCGAAATGTAGAAATAATGTGCTAGTGACAGAACTTTGGGACCAACTACGTAGATAAAGTGGGCTTCGACCGTCTTTAACATAATTTAGATTTTAGATCTAGCTCGCCTGCGTTAGTCTGTTTGGGTTTTTTATATTTCACAATTCGTTCAGTTTCGTTTCGTTTCTAAAAGCCCCGTTCTAATTTTAATTCCATTAACGCTTTGATGTCTTTCTCGCGGCCGTCGAGTCGTGAACGATTTCAAAACACTTGGCCGACGTTGCTTCGGCAATTGTCGGTCTCTACGTAGCAATAAACATAAGATTAAACTAAAAATAAAAACACCATTAATTCGCCTCCAGCGTGTAATTCTTGTAAATATGGATTTCGGTGAATGTATAAAGATAAAGTGCGCCGCGATCGCGGCTGAGTCACGGAGTCGGGCAGACCGGGTCGTGGCGGCGCTTGTTCAGTGCTCCCGGCGTCGTAAGTGCTCCAAGCCGTGTAAAAAGTTGTATCCGGCCGCGAATAGCGTGCGAGGAATTTCGTTTATAAATACGTACGGCCGACGGAGGTGCGCAGTGTACGGATGCGGGTTGTTTGTATTGCCGACCGCCGTCTCGAGACGCTCCTGGACAAAGCTACGAAAGTTGTGAGCCTGGAACTCCACGAAACATTGACATTCCGAAGCTTATTCAGTGATATTAGGTGTACACAACGCCTTCAGAGATACCTGGGTACCTTCCGTACCTGGCGGTGGTCATCGAGGATCAAGTGGGTGGTGAAGCGGCACTGATGCAGTGTGGCCGATGATATTCACGGGCGGGGGGGCGCGTCGCCGGCCTCCGCCAGCGCCCGCTCGCCCTCGCCCGCTCGCCTATCAGCGATTGCACGACAACGTAAGTATATGGTCAGACATTCGTACGTCGTTTACACAACGATTGTCTACCGTCAAAAATCTAGTAAAATTAGCTTGTCTACTTATAAAAAGTATTTCCATTGCATAAAAACAAATCGTTTTTACGAGCAAGGACGAAGATGGAGAGGCAAAGTGTATAAGTAAATGCATGGCTATAAATAGCTCTAACCGTGCACGCCTTAAATATTTCACGTTTCTTAGCGATCTGCATACAACGATAAGCTATCTCAGCGAAGAGTACCTAATCCAAGCTATGTCTGGAGATGTGCTTATGCTAATGCTTCGTCAATAAAGAAATCCTGAAATGAAGGCCCTTTTTTTGAAACCCTCCCTTTTTCATTTTGATGAATCATCCTACGCATCAGTAAAGAAGCACGCTCGCGTTATGACACAGTACATTCATCAATTGAGCTCGTTCGTTGCCCAAAAAGATTTTCACGAGCAAGCACATGCCAAAGAATTCTCGCAAAGACCTTGAACGCGAACTTGTGAGATTGCGAATATCGTTCAGTCCCTTCAGCAGTAAAGAGCTGCAGTTGCGTCTAATTGTGGTAGAAATGGTGTAGATGATCACCCCGGCACTATTGGCGATGTGTCAAGGAATCTCAAAATCGAAATATGGCTTCATTCTTTCGGGTATGTTTGCCAGTCTGCTAACTGCTTGCTGTTTTTAAAGATGGCGCAAAGGGTTTCATCCATCAGTCATTGCTATGATTCATACAAGTATGCATTACGTTATGCTTTGCGAAATATTGATCATACTCGAAGGTTAGTTGTAAGGGTTAGGTATGTATTACACCTTAATAATTTAATCTATCAGAAGCGGAGAACAATCTAAACAAGTTAGTTTATTTTTAATAGGAGAATCGTTCACGATTACCTATTACATGACCTTTCACATCATTAGGCCTATGATGAACATACGCTTTTAAGTAGTACAAAAGAGTTTAGAGACATTTAAATTACCTTTTACTTTCTTAAAGAAAATCGTTTTCGGTTTAAACAAATAATAGTAAAACAGATAGAAAAATCTGTCTACAAATGTCTTGAAACTTTATCTATCGCCCGTCACTAAAACTACTACACTTTATTCATATACTACATGAATCATTGCACCTACCACCTAATTCTATCTTGCATAGATTGTTTTGATAATTACCCTAATGAAAATAAATCTCTGAAAGATTTGTCGTACATGGTAGTATCATTACTATGACGTATTATGTTCTGCACACACACTATCACAACTGACGTTAATTAGATCTTTTTAAAATTAAAAACTTTTAGTGGGTGGGTGCGAGTCGGTCTGTCGGCGGTTATGATGAGGCGCGCCAGTCTCGCGGCAAGCGCATCACGCAGCGACGCGGTGCCATCAAACACCATAAGTAAGTTTAGCTTACCACATATATTTTCAATGACTCGTGAACCTTGTCCATCATAGCTATTAAGCTTCGCGATCGATGTTTTAGATGTAAGTGTTATAATAAGAACTAAAGAGGACTTAATGAATATCTGCCCGAACATCACGTTGTCCAGAATCCACGAAGTGCACGGGCACCGGTTTGTGGCGAAATTCTTCAGGCAGCCGACGTTCTGCGCTTTCTGCAAGGAGTTCCTATGGGGCTTCGGGAAACAAGGCTATCGCTGCGTGGTCTGTCAAACGGCTGTGCACAAAAGATGCCACGACAAGCTGCTGGGAAAATGCCCCGGCTCCTCTGCGCACTCCGATGCCACCGTGGTAAATAACTATGTGGTTGATATGGCTATTTTTTTAAAATAATTTTATAATAATTAAAACATAAAGTAATACTAACAGTACCGATTCCTTGTGATTTGTCTAATTCTTTTATTTATTTGTTCTCAGACTTTTTGCGCCTGACGTTTTATGAAAGCAAAACACAAATTCCCTTAATTGCTATTTATATATATTAAAGTTCACCACATCATAAATAATAGTATTGTCTTTGATTAACATAACTTTTATTCATTTAATAAAACACTATTTTGACCGGATTGAAGTTATGTATTATTATAAATTTACAACTATTTAACATAATTTTAAATTTATCCGACGTTTCGCGTGCTTTACAGCGTGCGTGGTCACGGTGACTGAAGACACCGTGACCACGCTGTCAAAATAGTGTTTTATTAAATCATAAATAATGCTATATCATTATACAGTATAGGTTATTATATAGTTAAATACCGTACTCACAGGGGAAACTATATCACGCGTTCGATTGCAAATTAAATTTTATGGCTTCTTGTTTTTAAAATATTTATAAGAGAATTTATGTTTGATCATCACGTACACAGTTCCTACGCGAAAGGTTCAAAGTGGACGTGCCGCACCGATTTCGTCCGCATCAGTTCATGTCACCAACCTTCTGCGACCACTGCGGAGCTCTTCTCGCCCCTTTTTTCACGCATCAACTAAAGTGCCAAGGTACGCACCACGGAATATTTATAACCAGCTTGATGCGAAGCTACTAATAATAAGGAACTCTACATTTTACTATTAGTTAATTGGTAGGAAATACAAGATGTATTCTTGCATGTGAGGATAGTAGGCGCAATATAATATATAATACTAGCAGACCGGCCAAGCGTTGCTGTGGCTAAGGTTTTTGTTATATTACATAGTAGCAAACTATTCAAGGGAAACGGTAGGAGAACACCAGTCATGGGGACCACTATGCCTTTTTTGGTGGTAATGCCATTAAATTGTAGCTTATGTGAAACGTTGATACTTTCAACACAGCGCCATCTGTTAGAATTGTGACTATCAAATAATTTGCAATAAAATAATATTGCGGGTATAAATTGAGATGTAAGCTATCCTATCTTTTAAGTTGGATCAAACTACACACGGTGTGCAAATTTGATTGATATCGGTTCGGTAGTTTAGGAGTCCATAGCGGACAAACAACGTGACACGTAATTTATATATATTAAGATTATGAATAAGTTTTTGCAAAATTTATTTATTGCATCGATGCTCCGATACAAACGTTAGCAGTATGATATTCGCTGATAGTGCTTTATAAATCAGTGAATTCGTGTAAGTAGTTTTCGAGTTTATTCGTAACAAACATAGAAAAGTACTCGTTTATCTTTATAAGGTAAGTATAGATATGTGTATTTATAAAATGATTTATTGTATTTATTACGTATATGTGTCAAAAAAGATACAATCGCAGGTTAGGTACCTTATTGTGGATGAATCATATTGTGCTAAGAAACATTTGAAGAGATATTATTGTCTGAAAAATCTATTAGTGTCATAAAATTCTCATCCATCAATCAGTGGGCAGTGGGCGGAGCACGAAAGTGCGAGCGTCGCCCGCCGCTGCCAGTCTGCGGCGCGCGTTCATACGGTGAACCGAGCTTCGCGCTCGCTGTTTAATGTGATACGATGCCGCTTTTTTCCGAACATATTTCGAATATGTATTACAGTGGAACCCCTTCATACTCCGGTGTGCCCTACGGCACGGGCTACGGCGGCTCACCTTACGGAACGTCTTACAGTGCGTCCTATTTGAATCCCGGAGGCAGTTATAGTAATCACTCATCTTTGGCCCCATATACCAGGACGTTATCGTCGAGGTGGCTCGGTAGAAATTACTCTCCAATACTTGGCACTATTGCGGAAAAAGGTACAACGAGCCCGGTTAGAATCAATAGTCCTAGAAGAACCCAAGTCCCAAGATCATATACATCACACATATCTATTCCAACTAGTTATTCATCCCGACCCATAAATATTAACACTGCAGACATTGATGTTTCTCGTGACAAATACCGAAATAGATCCATATCGATGCAGTCTATGAGTACGGGATCGTCGCGCTGGAGCCCTACGTCGGAAAGAAACAAAGAATCATCGCAAATGTGCGAAAAACCTAAGACAGGCGTGGATTCGACGCCGGGTTCTCATCCGCAAAGATCAACAATAAAACGAGATCGGCCGGTCGTTAGATTACACACAATTAAGAGAAAAGATAGAGACTCGCCACGTCATCCTGTTCAATGTGTTTCTGAAGAAAAGTGTAAAAGTCATGAGCTCAATAATACAGATGATAGTAATAAACCAGGACTAAAATGGAGACAGCGACTTGCTGATGATTTGACGTATAAAAATAAAAAAGATAAGAAAACTATAGGTGAAATGTTAGTGGAAAAATTTACTCTAAAAAATAAGGATGATGAAGATTTAGAAAATATTAAAATTGAAAATCGCGATGAAAATATAAAAATAAAAGATGTTATGCCTCCGTCAGAAAATATTGCAACTATAGATAAAAGTAAATTAACCAATAGACGCTGTTCTATGGAACAATTGGCAGAGCAAGCTTCGTTATTAGATTCATTAATTAGGAGAGAGAATTTGAGCACTGCAACTTTAGATTTAAGTAAAATTTCCACTGAAACTGGTGAAAAATGTGAAGATGTCGACCAAAGAAAAAGAAAACTCGCTGACCAACCAAATCCTCTAAAAACAACAAAATCAGTTCATTGTTTTATGTCGAATCCGGTGACTAAAAGGAAAAGTTTAAGAAAATCTACTTCGGGGGATAACATTCGTAGATTGGATCGAATATCAGAATTACCGCAGATTCGTAATGAAAACCTAGCCGTCGATGAAATAAAAACTTCATTGAAAACATATAATGTTAAAAATATAAAAAGTAAACCGAAAATAAAACAAAAAATAACCTCTAGTGTAGACATATCGACGCCGCCGAGTCCCTTAAAGTTTATAGTAGAAGATGTCACAGTAGAAGAAAAACCATCAAATAAGAGAAAAGAAGTTATTTATAGCAGTTCTATAGAAGATAGTAATAAATTAAATGACTTGAATGAAATTCAAACTAAATCAATTGAAAGTAAACATCGAAAAAGCGTTAAAGTAAAGCCTAAAATGTCAACGTCAAGTCTAGAAGAAACAGTTTCACAAGAATCGGAAGATGTAAACTTTTGGGGAAAACTGGGTAAACGAGAGACAATTTATTTAATTAACAGAAAAAAAGAAATAGAAGAAAATAATGAGCAAAATAAGCGATCAATGTTTTGGTTTACCGAAGAAGAAGGTGAATTAGATAATAAACAAGTAGCACAAAAGATGTCACAATGTTATGTTAGTACAACAGAACCAGACACAAAAAATACCAAAAATACAAAGTTAAAAAAAGTCAAAGAAAATAATGAATTCATTAATAAAGAGCAACAACGATCAAACGCATCAGTGTGTCACAACAAAAATCAATTAATAATAAAAGACAATGATATGATAATAACGTCATCAATTAATAAAAATCCAAGAGAGCAAGACGTACAAAATATCATCCCCGTAACAATAGAACCTGAAGACAAGAATGAATCCATTGAAGTTAGTTTAAGAAACAATGACACAGAGGCTAATGATTATAGTTCATGTAATACTATATCAAATGAATCAAAGGAATTTAATTTAAGTACAAATGGTTCCCTAAATAAAACATGTTTAAAAGAAGATATTACACAAGATTTAGTGTCAAGCGCATTTAAAAGTGATGCTCCGTTATGTACTCATTCAATAATCCATAAAGAAGTTTGTTCTTTAACACAAAACAAATCTGATGAAGCCTGTGTTGATAAAAGTGATAATAGTCAGTTAATTTCAGATAGCCATGAGGTCTTAGAGGGTGGTCCTTTCAGTTTTAGTGTAGACATTCCGAATGTTGTTAAAAGAGAATCGGCGAATTGCGATAATGCTAAGGTTGAAGCTGAACTCACAATGCCAATAAAGCTGCCTAGCGTCAAGAAACCGATTTCAGACGTCAACGCCCATCAACTGTTTGCTAATAAAAAGCCTGTTAAAAACGTTCCTGCGCCGAAACCACTAATAGCAACACCTCGGCCGCTTCAAAAGAAAGCCCCGCAAGTCCTCTATTCCTCTACTTCTTCAGAAACATCTTCATCGACTGAGTCGTCTGAAGAAGAGGACGATGAGACGAGTGACAGCTCAACAGACTCTAGTGCGTGTGTAAATAACGCTGATGGCAGAACTTCAACTGGTTCCAATGATTCTGGATTTGATTCTTCGGCTCCAGGGTCTCCTTCGGCATTCAGCTTTGTCCGAAAAGGTAAAGATAAGTATATAAAAATAGAAATAAGAGTAAGCGTTGTAAATAACTTTTCAACGACAGCACGCTTTTGCATGGCTTTTAACGCACAAGTAGGTGAGTAGGGGGTAGACTCCTCCTAGTAGCAAATATTATCCTTGTTTGTTTTAGATTGTGATGTAAACTGCCATCGGAAATGCGAAAAGCTGACTGCAAATCTATGTGGAGTTAACCAGAGGCTTTTGGTCGAGGCTTTAGCTCTCCGCACTGCGTCTAAGAAAGGTGGGCTTCTATTAATTATAAGTCACTACATACATTATTTTCCATATACATATATATTTACATGTGTTTTTGTTGTTGATTATTAGGCAGCGTGGGCGCACACCAAAGTTGTGTTTGGCTATTTGCCAATCATTCGCTCACCTGTACAAGATGATAACCACAGATTGTTGTGGATGTAATTACTCCAAAATTATTAATATTTATGACGACAAGAACCATCTCGATACACGTGTTGTCTATTGATATATACACTTAGAAATTCTGCTTGATTTTCCGTAGTCGAGGAACGGTAGGAATATAATTATCTTAAGAAGAAAGGAAAAACGTCGATCAAAAAGTAGGACGAAGTGAGGATTTCTCTAAGTACGCACTTTCGGTCGATTAAACCACTTAAGTCACGGTTAATATCGATCAAACGAGAAAACTATTGATGCTTTCGAACACAACAAATCCGAGCGATTTGTTTCTGCCGAAATATTTTGGCTTCACTTCAAACGTAATGTATTTTTATCATAGCCTATCCATACTCGTAGTATATAATATGTATCTTTTGTTTTATATTTGCGATTTATTTTAGCTTATAAATCATTGAGCAACATACTTTTAGTAGGTGCGTCGACGTTTTGTTCGATTGTCAATGTTCTCGATGGATGTCATGTGCAGGTGCCGAGCCCAGTTCGTCATCCTCGGCCTCCGTACCTCACGGCCACACCCACGACCTGCAGCACCAAGAGCCCGGTAGGAGACTGTGTTACTGTGTTTTATTTACTGGCTTTGTGGCGCTACTAACTCTCAATTTTCAAACATTTAAAATAGGTCAAAATTCAGCCAATTACAAGGTATGTTCTTCCTTTTATGTTTTATTTTCAACCGATACAAACTAGCTATTTAATTAATTTCTATATCAAGATGAACTCTTACTTCGAGATAAATTCTTGCTTCCTGACACAATTGGCAAAAAGCGAGTCGTATTTTGAAACTGGCTATTTATAGCGATGCCTACTGCTTCAGGACTTTGTGTGAAGGTGCTAATGTGCAAGGCGGCCTGGATTATTTTCCGTGTTCTACTGCTTACCTCGCAATTGATAAAGTTTACTATCTTAGGTC